AGGGGCCATAACAGGGGTACCAGCCCCCGTTGGCCCCTGTCTAGAACCGCTCATGCTGCCACAGAAATATTTAATGATGTTGAAAATGCATTTAAAGAGAAAACCCATAAAATAAAACAGTTTGATTTTATTTAAGTTTGTGATCTCGTGTGTTTTTATGCTAATTGTTCATAAATGATCAATATTTTAAATGATCAGTTTTGTTTCCTGTGACCTCAGTGATCCCAGTGAAACCAGCAGTCAGTCAGTATGAGTGGAAACAGCTGTTTCCAGATGTGTGTCCAAAGGGTAGAAAAAAATTTCTCTGTTAATATCAACTGTTTGCTATAATTTATATTTTAATCTCAGGTTTTCCCTAGCTATCGTTCAGGTGGTTGGATTATTTTAGGTTCTGCTGGTTCTGCTGCCGAGCGCCGCCATCGTTGAATAAGTCAACGTTAATAAGTTCTAGTCAGGGATGCAGAAGATGAAAGGTTTGATCTGTCAGCTTAAAGTCTCTGCCTGCAGAGCGATCAGCGAAGCTGAGTGGTTTAAAAAGCAAAGGTGAAGGAACTAGACGAAGCACCAGAACTGAAACCTCATCTGTCAGCTCCTTTCTACTCATGTAATCAAAAGTTCGGTTCTGGTTCTATAGAAGAACTGATTCTTCCGCAGCCGGAAGACGCAACATAACTTCTCTGTAAAAATCCCACCTTAAAATCTTTAATCCAGGTTTAATCTGGAGTTTAATGGAAGACTTGATTCTGGGGAAATGATTAAAATCAATTAATCATTTTAATTATTTCAACATCAATGCAAAACGTTCAGATGTGAGCAGCTTTAAATAAATGCCGCTGATCTGTGGTCAGTACCAGCAGAGCTGCACGAAGCAGGAGGACTTCTTCTCTTTACTGGATGAAATCAAAAGACAAATGCTGTTTAGGGGAAACATGGCGTCTCCATCAAGATGCATCAACATGATGGTGGAGTGACGTGTTATTCCACCTTTAGCTAATGCTACACCTTTTGGTTTTCACTGTTTTTATAAAAATAGGAAAATCAAAGCTTTTCAAGCAGGAGGGACACGAAGTAGAGAGAGATTTGATCCCAGCTGCGTTCAAAGGCTGCTTTTCCCTCAGGATCAGAGGAACGGTTGGTGCTGATGGTGCCTTCAAAGTCTGGGTTTCCTGCTCGTTCATGTTGGTTTTAGAAAATCCTGCTTCTGATGGTTCACACAATAAGTTAATAAAGTTGGCTGTGTGCTGAGAGAGTTTCGGGTGTTATCTGTTGATCGAGCGATAATCAAATAAGACGCCGCCATGCAAAGAGGAACAGAGGCCTGCCGAGGACTGACTGTCTTCTCTGCTTTTTTGTTTGTTTTTTCTCTAAATATTAAGTTATTATCCATTTTCCTTCATCTGAAATCAGTTTTCGCTTGAAAGGCGGTGCAATGCATGGATGAAGTTTAATCAGAAGACTCCCAGAAGCACCTTCAGGGAAGACGGATCAGAGGAGACAGAAAAGGGAACTTTTTTAGGTTAGAAAAGAAAAACTGAACGTGGCACTTCTTGGGTTTTTACACTCAAACGCAACATTTTCCATTTGCCTCAGCGCTGCACCCCTTTATCATTTGCATGCATTGATCACAGTGAATAATTTTTTAACTTGAGAGCAAATGTTCTTAACGGTTTCCTTGCATTTGACCCTGACGGTGCTGAGCGGAGCTGCGAACGCTGACTTCCCTCTGTCAGCGCCTTAATCTGCCTCTGTGAGCAGACGCAGGATTGAACCCGCGCCTCTCCCTCCATCTGTGCAGCTTTGCATGCAGAACAATGCAGCTTCAGACTCCTCCTTTATTCCAGTTCCTGCTAAACCTTGTTTTTTTTCACCAACAACTGTTGTTCAGTTTTATTTTCTTCATCCGCTTTCATATTTACATACATAAATACACAAATACATCCAGTATACAAAGCAGCAGATTTTGAATGCTAAAGGTCAGAGGAGGTGAACTGCTCTGCTCTGGCAAATATCAGGTGTTCTGCTGAAAACAGTTAATGAAGACCTAATGACATTTTTTTTTTATCACCTCATCCTGAGATCCAGCTTTAAACGTCCAGTAAAACAGTTCGATAAGCAGCATTATTAAAATCAGACCCATTAAAAATTATCTGGCAGCAATTTGATGACAAATTCTGCAAGCATCGATTCACCATTTGGCTGAAAAGGAAAAATTCAGCCATAAAATAATGAGCGACGACGGCTGCAGGAGGCGTGCAGCAGAGTTTAATCGATGCCGTTTGTGCAGAGGTGGGAAGGTTGATGTTTTTCACCTCATTGCATCGTTGCTAAGATGTTTGAAAAGCTTTGTTTCAATCAAACGCTGATCGCTAATAAACAAGATGGCCGCCAGTGGTTCCTTTTTATGTGGTAGAGCTTCGTGCCTGTGCACTGAAACTGAACTCTTTATATTCACACCTCTTTGCTTCTCTCCGCTGAAAAGATGCGAATTAAACGACATGAAAATCCAAAAAAAGCTCCAGTCAGTTATTGTGTGCTTCTGCTCAGCGAAACGTGAAGAAAGACGTACTTTGTTCCCTTTTTAGATAAATATATAAATACATTGTTCCTTCCGTTACACCTTAAAGGGGTGAAAATATAAACCTTTACAGGTCAATCATATTTGTTCATTTTTCCTAAAGTCTAACTGTAAGAGCCAAAGTTAACGGATTATTTTTTGTTTATTATTTTGGTGGCTCAGGTGTTCAGGTCTTCCCACAGCTGGGGGGGGGGTTGCTTAGGGGGTGTGGCCTCTTTTTACTTTAGAAGAAAGGAGTTTACCCAACATGGAGTTTGCTGAGGATGTTTTTGTCAAACTTTTCTATTAACCGTCATCGTTTTCATCGTCATTTGGAATTTTTTGAAATATAAATAAGAAAGAAAACGCAAGTGGGGCAAAACTTCTCAGCCAGCAGCTGCTCTGTTGGTGGATCGAAGTCGCTACACTAATTTCACACATTATTAAGACTTTACGTAAATATTGAAGAATATCTGCTCCAAACATTCATACTTTTTAATTTCCAGTAATAAATGATGTTTATCAGTTCATTTTGGATTTCTTAATTGTTTGTAATGATAAAAAATACCTAAAACTTTACATTTTTGTTATGCTAACTTCATTTCTCCTTTGAAATACTTTATTTTTTCAGTTACATTTTCAGTTTATAGCACAACTTCACAGCATTTTCTCTTTACATTCTGAAAATGTTTGTTTTATAGATAGAAATGATGGATGAAAGTCGCTCCTGTCAGTTCGCTCAGTCACATATCCAGATATCCACAGCGATGGATGATATTAGGACATGATATTAAATTTATAACGCTTGTCTAACAGCAGCTTCTGAAAGTCACTGTTTGCAACAGTGACTTCATGTCATCATGGAAAGTGCAGCAGGAGGAAGTTCGGACCACGCGGTGTGGTTGGAAGTGTGGTCAGCGAGACAAAACCAGAGAGCTGCTCTAAAAAGAAGCTAAATCGGTCAGGGTCAACAAACAAAGAATCCTTTAGCACAAAAATGTGACTTTTCTTTTCCTGTACTTCTTACATTTTGAGATTTTAGACTCTGGAACAAACGATCTGATTTGGATTCAATTCAGCACCTTTTTAGATGATAAATTAGTCGTTAAATGTTTTTTAGTATTAACAGAAAGAGAAAGAAACAAAAGCAGAATTAACATATTCAGCTTTTCAGCTGTAATCTGGAACTTAACCTCTCCTGTGGAACCAACTTCCAGTTTTAGTCCGTGAGGCAAACAACCTCGACAACACGTCACTTTCCAGTTCACCAGATCATCCAGTCAGATTGATTCAAAGTTTTCTATCTAAGGAAAACCAGCTGATTGCATCGACTCATTGACTCTTCAGCAATCCCTCACACTAAGCATGCTTGTAGCGACAGTGGAGAGGAAAAACTCCCTTTGAACAGGAAGAAACCTCCAGCAGAACCAGGCTCAGTGTGAGCGGCCATCTGCTGAGGCCCACTGGGGTTCAAGGAGACAGAAGCAGACATAGAAAAAGAAGCATAGATACAAAAGGCAACTGTCAACCAGCTCCACAGGCGGCCCCGTCCAGGAAACACACCGCCAGGCAGACGAGCTCCGAGCCAGCTCCCATGTCAGAGGATGAAGAGAGCACATCCAGTTAGTCACAGTCAGAGAAACAGGACTACACTGGAAAACAGGCCAAGCTCCAACATCTAGAAACAAAGGTGTTGATGGCAGCAGCACTGCTGATATTTCTCTCCAGGATGGAGTCACAGCCAAACAGGAACAGACCAGATGAAGCTACTATGAGAAAAAGCAGAGAGAGCAGAACGTAGAGATTGAACTAACAGATTCTGCAGAGTGGGAGAATAGAGATAGAATGATGAAAAAGGGGTCCCCTATGTCCTCCAGCAGTCTAAGCCTATAGCAGCAGAACTATAGAGATAGATCAGGATAACCTGAGCCACTCTAACTAGAAGCTTTATCAAAAAGGAAAGTTTTAAGCCTAGCCTTAAAAGTAGACAGGGTGTCTGCCTCACGGACTAAAACTGGTAGCTGGTTCCACAGGAGAGGAGCCTGAGAACTAAAAGATCTGCCTCCCATTCTACTTTTAGAAATTCTAGGAACCACTAGTAAACCTGCAGATTGAGAGCGAAGTGCTCTGTTAGGAACATAAGGAACAATCAGATCTCTGATATCAGATGGAGCTTGGCCATTTAAGGCTTTATATGTGAGAAGGAGGATTTTAAATTCTATTCTGGATTTAACAGGAAGCCAATGAAGAGAAGCCAGGATAGGAGAGATATGATCTCTCTTTTTAATATGTAGTTTTAAAGGATCTAGATATTAACCCAGATGATTCTGAACTTATGGATATTACTGGATCCACATTTACAGAAACCATTTAACTACCTGATTGTAATTCTTGATGTTTAAACGAGCAAAAAATAAAACCTTTTTCCTTGTTTATTGTCCTGCAGGCGGCATCATGGGCTGTGTGGGCTCAAAGAAGGAACAGAAGTCCACCAGCAAAGATGCGGATAACAGCGAGCAGCAGAACAGAGCTCAGGTACACTATGTCAAAGACCCCACCTCTGGAAGCAAGGCTGCTGTAAGTTGGAAAAGAACAAAGATCCTGATTTAGACTTTCAACAATGTAAAGTCACGGAAAGAAATCGTAGGAATGCAGATGTTTGCTCCACAGCCATCATATTTATAGTTTTATTGCTGCTTTTTATGGTGACTGATGTACAGTGATCATTTCACCAGTTCAGCAACCCTCATCCCAAACCGCAGCCCTCCTGTATCCATGTCGTCATCCAGTGTATAAATAATGCTGATTCATCAAATTTGGAGAGAATGAATCATCAAAGGCGTGCTCTCCGGAAATATTCAATCACAGCCCAGAGTCGATTCCTGCAAACATGTCCGACTCTAATGAACCACTACAGCTTCGAGCAGCCTCCTGCTAGCAGCTAACAGTCCGGAGAGTCAGATTAAAATTACGCCTCAATGTTTATGAAAGAAAAAGGCATGTCTGAAGCATCCAATGGGCTTGGATAATCCGTTGCACAGTCGGTTCTGAACCCAAACAGACCAAAACCCTTAAAGGTTTGACAGCAATGGGTGGAGATGGTCTGGTTGTTTAGTTCTGCGGATATGGGGGTGAATGAAACAAAGCAAAGATGTTAGGATTCCCAGACGAAAGTAAAAACCAGCAAAAAAAAAAAGAGATTATGTGAAAGTTGACAAAAAAACAGACATTACTGTGCTAAAACAAAGGGTGTACATCATTCCAGTCTGTCTGCTATCGCTAAACGTGGCTCTGAAAGGATGGAGTCGTATTGATCAAGACCATTAGGAAAGATCATTAGAGTCTCTAAGCTGTTTGAAAACGTTTTAAAGGAAAGTTTACGTACGATTCCAGATTTTAGAAAAAAACATCTGCAAAAGTTTAGTGGTTTTGTGCAAAAAAATGAGGAAGAGTAACGATGAAAAGGCAGAAACGGGCAAACACGGTTCAGAGAGGATAAGAACACAGTTCCACAATTTTCATCAAAGAGTCGACAGGAAGTCGCCTCCCTTTGTTTTCATTTCCAGAAAGACGCATGTCCACACAGTCTTAGCGTGTCCATGTGACTTATCGGGGGTTTGCATACTGGCTAGACTTAGCTGTGGCTGGTTATAGTTGCAGTATTACTGCGAGCGTGGTTCCTCTGGCTACTGCTTCCTGTGCGCTGACTGTAAGATCTCTTTCACCCTTAATGAAGAAAGAGGAAGTGCAAGAAGCAGAAGCAGGGCGCTGAGCCGGGACAAGTGTAGCGAGAAGTGTTAAGCCGCACTTCTTTATGCTGTAATAACGGGTGTCTAAACATGTAGACGTTACGTTCACAAACCAGGGTTTCACAGGGCTGCACCTTTTCCACACTTATCTTATAAAATTATTTCCTTTCTCAACTTTCTACACGGTTGTTTTTTGAAATTATTGCAAATTGTCTAAAAATAGAAACCAAAGGAATCCCATTTTTTAACCCTTTAAGCCCAGAGGGTCTTAGGAGCAAATATCATCTGAAATTACATGTGAATTCAAGCAAGTTCAGCTCCCAAAGTATAAATTGGAAATCCAATTGTTTGTATTTTATGACAGAAAGGCATTGAGGAATATTTTTCAGGTGGAACCACTATTTTAAATGTCAGGATGTCAAAATTGTTTCCAGAATAAACTCTGCAAAACACCAGGAAAGCCCATTTCAAACGCTCTGGTGAACCTGGGGACGCAGTCATGTGTCATCAGGGTGAACATCAGGGGGCTCAGGACGCAGCCCTGAGGGGAGGGG